CGATCGCTCCGCGACGCCCAAGACGGCCCAAGACGGCAGAAGAAGCCTCCACGACGTCCCAAGAGGTATCCTAACAGGGCCCCAATAAGCAAACATGAGTAATTATTTTTAGGTTGCTGCAGGATGTTAGCCTTGTCGCTTTTTCAGCCTCCCGACGCTCCAAGACAGCCCAAAAGACCCCAAAGCTCGCCCCAAGACGGCCCCATAGGCCCCCAAAGGGGCCGCAAGTCGGCCCAAGGAGCCCCAAGAGAAGGCACCCAAGACGGCCCAAGAGGGCCCCAACAGGGGTGACAAATGGAGAGCCCGAGCGGACATTTCGAGCCCTCGGCCCCGAGGGGCCCCCAGGCGGCCCCAAAACGTCCCCAAGGTACCCAAGAGGTTCCAGGAGGCCCCCAAAAGGCCCGAAGAGGCCCCCAAAAGACCCCCAAGAGATTCCCCATAGGCCCCGGCAGTGCCCCAAGAGGCCCCCGAAAACGCTCCGAAGAGATCCCAAGAAGCATCCCTGAGATCTCTGACCCACGACCCAGGCACGGTGGAGGATGGACCGAAGGCAATGAAACACAGAGTAAAATTCATTTGGTACCAAGCACCGCAAATGTCAATCACCGTCAGCACTAGCAGACACCAAGAGCAGTCACCAAGCACATTTACCAATAACATGCAACAGCATACGCGCATGACGCAGATCAGTGATAGCTGGCGCGGGCTCCAGCCAGTGAGTTATTCCACAGCGAGGTGGAGGACGTGCGGTGTGGGCTATGCGGTGCTAGTTATGTGTCATAAGCTATATTGTCTATGGTTATCCGGCGCAGCCTATGTGGTGTACCGAAGTCTTGAGTTGTCAAGTCACTTGATCGCGAAACCACGGAACCATCCCACCCACAACGCAACTCAGAAAACCCATGCGGCCACGATTGTGGTGACTGCGTGGCCCTGGCTGGCGCATCGCTGCGGCCGCGCTGGCACGCGCTAGCTCGCGCGAAGAACGGCAAACTGGCTTGGCACAGCTGATGCAGCCGCGATGGCGCTTGCCGATGTCCACTTCCCAGCGCGTCTCAAGGGCCACGCTGGCGCGCAGGCGCCTCAATGTGGGGCGGTGACTCGGGCGGGCGTGACGTCGGCTACTGACAACGATGATGATGGTAGCGATGGTGGTGGAAATGATGGTGATGACGGTGGGCCGGCCGATCACGGTACCAAAGCTGGCGTCGACGATGACGATGACGGTGACGATGACGATGATGATGATGATGACGACGACGCTGATGATGATGAACATGATGTTGTTGATCATGATATGATGGTGATGATGACCATTTGCCGGTGTTGAGAGGGATTGGATTGTCTGGTGATGGCGGCACACCAAGGCGGCTGGCGATGACGATGACGGCGGTGATGCGGTGACGCTAATGAAGGTGATGTTGAGGAGGTGCGCGCGCGCGGAAACGCAAGGCACCTGGCAGACATGTTGCTGAACGGCTCGGGGTGCAAAGGGGGCCTGTTGGTTATTATGCGTGTTCTGCTTAAGAAGAAAACCTATGCGAATCTCTCCCTGCGACTCCCTCTCTCAATCTCTCTCGCTCCCTTTCTCTTTCTGAATGTATTTCCGTTTATCTCTCTCTCCCTGCTGTACAACGTGTAGTTGGCCATGACGTTGCGTGATGCTCTTTGTTGAATTGCTCCACCAACCATTGGTTTTGGACGATGTTTCGACCCGCGCACGTGGCGGCGCGCACATGGCCCGCACGCTAGCATGCGATACGGGCTCGTCCATTTGGCGTACGCCACGATGCGCCGCGTGATGAGATGAGAGCGCGGGTCCTGCACGTATGGCTATCATACGATGCCAGCCGGCGCGCGCTGACACAACCTGAAACAGTTGCAGTGAAATCGCAATGGATGCTTGGATGCTTTTATACTGTAGTGCATGCGGGACGGATCTGGTGGATATGAGTTTGACATGAGTGCGCGCGCATGGGACTGGTGGACTAGTGTTGCAAGGGGGCGTTCTTCACACATTATCTTTTGAGGTAAACAAATGTGGCGCATTGTGTGATTTGGACCAAAAGATGGGATGTTGATACCCGTGGGGCTGGGATGCTATGATGTATTCGTACGGAGAAAAAGACGATGAGGCAAAATCGTATGTTATTTGCTATGTCCCGCGGCGACCCGTTCAGTCGGGGCACGTGGATGCCTTTGCTCTGTTAAATGGAAAACCTTCGTGGTGCAATCCGCCTTGCAGATCTGATGTCGTAAACTTCGCTGCTCGCGGAGTCGCCCCACCTTCCCACCCGCAACTTGCTTGGCATGACCCATGCGGCCGTGATTACGGTGGCTGCTCGGCACTGACTGGCATATCTCTACGGCTGCGCTAACGCGCGCAATCTCGCGCCGCGCGCAGAGCGGCCAAATGGTTCGGCACCTCCCATGAGGCCGCGATGGCGCTTACCGACGTGAACTTCCTTGCGCGCGACTCGGGGGCCGTGCTGGCGCGCGGGCACTTCAATGAGAGTCGATGACTCAGGCGTGCGCGGTATCACGATGACGCCGACAAGGCCGGTAACGATGATGATAACAGCGATTCCGGTGGCGATGACGGCAGGGCCACTAAAAGCGCTGATGCCAATGACGACGATGACGACGATGATGATCGTGTGTCGGTGATGGGAGGGTTTTGCTGATGATGGCGGCCGTAAAAACAACGATTGGCGATTACGATTGGGCTGGGGATGCGACGACGCCGGCGGGGGTGATGGTGAGGAAGTGCTCGCGCGCGGAAATGCAAGACTCCTGTCAGACATGATGTTGAGAAGCATGCACTTTAGAATGTGGTGCTGCCAAGCTGAGTCTTGAAACGCTTGGACAAACATTGGATCTGAAAATTTATTGACACGCGCGCGTGACGACGCCAATGCTGGCGACGACGACGACGACGATGATGATGACCATGCGTCGGTAATGAGAGGGATTGTATGGTGATGGCGGTTAAAACGATTGGCGATGAGGATAACGGTGGTGTTACGGTGACGCTGACGAGGGTGATGTCGAGGAAGAGCGGGCGCGGAATTGCAAGACACATGGCAAACATCGTGTTGAAAAACGTATGGTTTTCAATGACGTGTTGTGAGGCTCTATGCTGAAATGCTCCAGGAACCACTGGATCAGGGAGAAAGTTGACACGCGCGCGTGGCGGCGCGCGCGTGACCCGCATGGTCGTGTTTGATACGGGCTCGTCCTTTTGGCGCACCCCAGCTCAGACCAGTTGCGCCGCGTGATGAGATGAGAATTCGGAATCTGGACGATAGTGCCGTACTCGTATGCTGTCATTGAAAGCTGCTTCCATGCGGCTTCAGTCAGTGTGCGCGCGCAGAAATTCTGGGCGAAATGAAATGGATTCAGAATGCATGCTTGGGTGTCTTTGTATGCTGAAATGCGTGCAGGACGGATGTGCTTGGTATGAGCTTGACATGTGCGCGCGCATGGGATTAGTGGACTTGTGTTGAAAGGAGAGTGCTTTTGACCACTGATCTTTTGAGACACACAGATGTGCCGCATGTTGGACAAAGAGAAGGAAGAGGTCGATACCCATTGGGCTAGGACGGTGTGACGGATTCCTACGGAACCATGAACGATGATATAATATTTGCTGTCCCGCGGCGGCCCGCTGAGTCCGGGCACGGGAAAGGGGGTGGATCCCATTTTTCTTTTGAATGGAAAACCGACGTGGTGGAATCCATCTTACAGAACTTGATGTCATGAATTTTTCTGCTCGCGCAATCGCCCCACCTTCCCACCGGCAACTTGTTTTGCATAGCCCATGCGGCCGTGATTGCGGTGGCTGCTTGGCACAAACTGGCGCATCTTTACGGCTGCGCTGGCGTGCGCAAACTCGCGCACAGACCGGCCAAATGGTTCGGCACAACCGATGCGGCCGCCATGGCGCTTGCCAATGCGAACTTCCCCACGCGACTCGGGGGCCGCGCTGGCGCGCGGGCACGGCACATCAATGAGAGACGATGACTCAGGCGTGCGCGGTATCACGATGACGCCGACAAGGCCGGTAACGATGATGATAACAGCGATTCCGGTGGCGACGATGACGACGGCAGGGCCACTGAAAGCGCCGATGCCAGTGACGACGATTACGATGATGATATTCGTGTCGTTAATGAGAGGGTTTGGCTTATGGTAGCAAAACATGGCGACTGGCGATGACGATAACGGCGGTGCTGTGGCGACGCTGACGAGGGTGATGATGAGGAAGTGCGCGCTCGCGGATATGCCATACGCCTGGCAGACGTTTGCTTGAAAAGCATGTATATCCCAAGCGTTGTCCCACAACGTTTTGACAACAAGTGGTGTGGGCAGATGTGTTCGACACGTTCGCGTGGCGGCTCGGTCGTGTGGCCCGCATTGTCGCATTTTGTACATAATCGTCCACAGGGCGCATGCTAGATCAACGCGGATACCCCGAGCGGTGAGGTGATAATGCGGTTCTGAACTAGATGAGAGTGCTGTGATTGCACGGCATTCCTATGGTGTGGGCCAATTCGCGCGGACAGAACATCTGCAAGATTTGGGATGAAATCTTACAGGCTTGTGATGTTTGTATGTTGGCATGCTTGCAGTGTTTTGGTGTGCGGCGTGGTGTCCCACATGTGCTCGCGCGTGTGGGCCTGGTGCACTATGTTCTGGGACGAGCTCCTGGAAGCACCAGCATCTTTCCACATATGCACTGATGTGGAATGACGGCCCTCCCCTCGGGCCGGGCGAAAGGGGGGGATAGCAAAGGGGGGGGGGGGGGGAGAATCAGCTCACGCAGCTGATTTTCCCGGCGCCTCCCGGCGCCGGAAGGCGCCCATGCATCGAGGAATGGGCCTGGCGGCGGGGCCCAAACCAGCTGCACGCAGCAGCTCTCGTACCCCCCCCCCTTTCCCTGCCCCTGCCCCTTTCCCTTTCGAATTCGGCCCGCTCCCCGCGGGGCACCCGCCCCGCTCCTGCACCAGGCTCCCCGGTGCCCGCGCCGCGTGCACCGCCGCGCCGATCTCCTGTGGGAGCCGCGCCGGCCGCCGCGCACGCCCGACGGGCAGTGACCACGGCGAGGGGCCGGGCCCGAGGAGAGCTGCGCGGTGAGATGAAGTCGGGCCCGTCCCCCTGCAGGGGGATTCTGGACGAGAAAGAAAACATTGAATTTCCCCCCTGTAGAGGGACAGGCCCGACTTGACAGTAAGCGTCGCTCGGCGGCGCGCCGAGGGGGGGAAGCGTTAAGGCGGGCACGTCCCTCTACAGGAGGAATAACCAAAAATAGGCAAAACATAGTCAGGGCACGATTTGGGATTTTTTTTTGTGCATTTTGGAATCTGTTTTGACAATGTTTGCTCTTTCGTCCCAAATCCCCCTGCAGGGGGACATGCCCGACCTGAGGGCAGCGAGGGGGGCAGGCCTCCTCAGGAAGCGGCGAAGGCCTCCGCAGAAGCCCCTCGGGCCTGCCGAGAGGCCGCCTCCGTCTTCGAGCAGGGCTCAGAAAGTGATGGGCGTGTTTTCCACCACCACCACCATAAGTTGGAGGGAGGAGGAGGAGGAGGAGGAGGAGAAGGAGGAGGAGGAGGAGGAGGAGGAGGAGGAGGAGGACCCCCCCTCTCCAACTCATGGTGGTGGTGGTGGAAAACACGCCCATCAGAAAGCGTTTCGCGATGCCGGCGGCCGCCTGGGGCGTCTGCGAAGGCCCGCCCCCTCGACCCTCCCCTGGGCTCGAGCTGGCACGGCAAGACACGAGGAGCCGCCAGCACAGAGAGCAAGCCGTGGGTGGAAAAAGTGCGCCTCGTCGCTGGAAGGCGAGCGCCCCCTCCAGAACTCCCCGGAGACGGTCCGCTTTTGTGGCGCGTCGTCGAGAACGGTCAGCCTCGTGGCGCGTCGGCGTTATTACTCCCAAGCGAGCGTCACACTCCTAAGATGGTGAACGAAGTCAAGGGGATCATCCGTAAAATGAAGGAAGAGGGAACTAGCAGACACGTGTAGGAGGTCGTCCGCAAACGGAACTCCCTGTGGGACTCAAGCTCTTCCCTCTCTCGCCCTTCGAACCGCCCGTCCTGCACCTTTCCAATACAGGCTCCCGTCTTGGGGTGGCAACTTTACAGGTGGACTGATACGGCAGGAGCACACCGAACTGGAATCGGCGATTCATCGTCGATAGATCTGCGGTACGCCCCGGATAGCGGAACTGCACGCTCCTGGGCGGGGTGAGCTATCAAGGCCCTATCCGCCACGGATGGGCGATTCGGGGTCGATGCATGCCCCCCTGGGCCTATCCCCCCAATGATGTTCACCGTCCAGCCTTCGAGTCCTCACTCAGGTCTTAGGCGGACGTTCGGAGCGATCTGGGCAACCCCAGAACACTCTTGGCGAGGCGCAGCTGCTTGAGAATATCCCGTGGCTGAAAACCACCAAGAACACACGAAAACGTTCAAAACCTCGAACCCAGGAGAAGACAAAACAGCATAAAGATAAACTTTTGGCGCTCCGAACGGATTTCTCGGATCTGCGCTGGACCCCCCTCCCTGGCGCGCGGAGCGCCAGGGGCGGCGCCGGAGGCGCCGCCGGGGGGGGGCCCAGCGCGGATCCAAGAAATCAGCACGGAGCGCCAACAGTTCATGCTTATGCCGCTGTTTCTTCGATGCGAGCCACCGAGAACACACGAAAGCGTTCAAAGCCTCGAACCTGAATTCCGAAATCCTTCTGTGGCAACTCATGGGAGCCTCCTACTTCCGCAGGCCGAAAGATTTTCCTCTTGTGCCCCACATGTCGGAAGCGACGCGCCGATCCCCTCGGTTCTCCTCCCACCTCCTCTTGCCGCTTCCCTCATCCTTCTCTTCTTCATCCTGGGAAGACCCCCCTCCCCCTGAGAATCATAGCATTGGTCTGCAGATCCACAGCTCCGTGGATAGCATGATGCTTCGCTTGCGGTGCTCCGCGGATCCGATTTCCCCTGGGTCCCGGATGCTAGTTATCATTATATACTTATTCCCGGGAAATAAATGGATCCATCGTTGTTTCACACGCAGGATCCGCGCAGCGCAGAAATAGGATCCACGAAACTCTCCCACACCCGGAAAGGGATCCAATTGGATCCGCTGATGTTCTCATATTTTTAGTCCAAAGAGGAAAAAACACTTTCGGCCTGGGGATGTATGTCACCTTGCGGGCCCTTGCAAATCGACGCTAATCGACGCTCATCCACGCTCCTCGGAGCTCATCCGCGCTCCTCGGAGCTCATCGGGCCCTCGATCCTCGATCTCCCCCCCATCCAGCCTCGAGCCTCGAGCCTCGAGCCTCCATCTCGATCCCTCCCCCCTCCCCCCGTCCTGGACCCTCGATCCCTCGGTCCCTCGAGCCTCGACCCCTGTGCCCCCCCCTCCTGCTCGCCCCCCCGAGCCCTCGAGCCTCGGGCTCTCTCCCCCTCCCCCGCGACCCCGCGAGCCCTCGAGCCCCCTCCCCGTCGGCCCGCCTCCCCCTCCTCCTCCTCCTCCTCCTCCTCCTCCTCCTCCTCCTCCTGCTCCTCCTCCTTGTCCTCCTCGTCCTCCTCCTCCTCCTTTTCCTCCTCCTCCTCCTCCTCCTCCTCCTCCTCCTCTCGTTTTTTGGCCTCGCAGACTCAAATCTGATCTGAAATCTATCCGTCTTGCCTCCCACGCGTTGGGAGCGTGGACTCGGCTTTGCTAGCCCTCAGCTCTGAGGCTTGGCCCAAACAGCCTACGGAAGAACAACTAATGATACAAAATCTGCCTTATTTCGTATCCTGCCTCTCCGTCCTTACGGAAAGATGATAATTATGATTATCCCGCCTACCATCCCCTACTGCCGCCTAGTGTGGTCTATGTGCGAGCCTCGCCAACAAACTATGCATGTTTGGCAGGCCCCTGTAATTCGTGATACGTACGTCGGGCACGCACCCCATGGCCCTGAGTATCACCGCGCCGTACCCGTCATGCCTGAGGAAATGACCTAGTGTATTTTGCAGGCTTTGCTGAAGCCCGGGGGAATACCGCAACTTCAGCCACAGCGTGCTCGAATTCGATCCCCGAGCGCCCCTGCCCGTGTCTTCGGCGGGGGGGCGGAGGACGCGATCCACATACTGAGCAGAAAAAGATTGGGATAATCGTTCTCTCAACTCGCACTGCGCTTCTTCGAAAAAACTTGGGTTCGAGCACAGAGTCCGCAGTGTCCCCAGCCTTGCCCGTGGCCACGCCCTGTGCACAGACGGGGGGTGGGCGCTACTGGGGGCAAGGGGAACAGCCAAGGTCGTGTGCTTAAAACGAGGTTTTGTCGCAACGGTACCCGCGACCCTCACTACTTCTAGTTCCAGCCATTCCACAGACTGGATGGAAAGAGATACAACCTTTAGGCGAAAAAACCCTGACTTGGTCATGAGCTCGCTGCAGAACTGGCCTCCAAGCGAACTGTGTTTCCAGATCAAGAATATGTCGTCTTTGAATCTCAAGTACTGCTTAATGCTGAAACGCGTAAGATTTGCAACGGCCCATGTTTCCATTCGGCGAATCAATGCTAAGTCGGCCACGTCTCCCGAATGAGGGAGGCCCATGCCCGTACCGAGCACTACTTTGAAGCACCGGCCTGGCAACGTGGACGCCGTAATGAATTGATTATCAAGCAGTAAATACAATGCGCGCTCAATGAGCACACGCAGCCTCCCAGAGAAGAAGTGCAGGATGTCATTCACGAGCTCTTCCGTTGTCCCTGACATGAAAAACTCTTTCACATCCATTGTGCACAAGTGGTCTCTCGGATCCAGTCTTGTACTCATTAGTTTCCTGGCTGCGTCGGCGGAGTCCCGCACCACGTGAGGATACCGCTTGATGACCTCGCGAAGCCTTCTGCCGAGCCAATGCGACAGCCCTGCGAAGGCATACTTGCCTGCCGCGTGCACGTTCCGAAATGAAATCGGTTCTGGCGCCTTGTGTGTCTTGCATGTTTTGAAAAGGTGTGCTTTGTAAGTGTGCCTCGGAGCTTTGAGGGATCGGGTGATATCCGAAGCGATGGGGAAATCTTCATACTTCTCTATGTCTTGTGCAAGTTTCACATAAGACCGCGCCACGCTGTCAAAATTGATTGGGTCAGTTGAAACCTCCTGGTACTGAGGTCCGTTCAAAATCATTTCATCGATCTGGGTGTTGTCACTTCGCCGGACAAGGGTGTAGCCAGTTTCCTTGTCGTTCTTTATGGGTACATAGTCTGAGCTTTCCAGCCACGCAAATGCCAAGCGAATCAACGGATAGACGTTTCCGCGCCTCTTATGCCGAAGTCGCTGAATGGCCGAAGCGCCCGCACTCATGAGATTGTGTTTCATTTGGCTCAACCAAAATTCAACCTCAGCTGGCAAGTTTGCTGGGCCTGTCGGTGTCCGCCAGCCCCGTAATCTGTATGCCAGCCTGTCGGGATGAGACTGGTTCCCCAAACTGAATCTCCAGCGGAAGCGATTGACGAAATCATTTAAATCCTTTCGCACCTGATCTAATTTCGGGAGCTTCCCCGAATCAAAGACGTACTTGTTGTGAAACGTGCTAAGAAGCCAAACCACTGGCCATGGGATGTCCGTTGGTATGTACACACTTTTGTCTGAAGCGTCGAATGCAAGAACTGTGTTTTCTCGCCGGCGAAACGTCACCAACGATAGCCATTCTTCCACGGACGCTCCTGCCATGTGGTGTTCCAACCACCTGCCTTGCCAGCCTTCTTGCCTTTGCCGTTTGCACCTTTCTCGGTACGTATTGCTCCATATTTGTCTCCTTTGCTGCCTCCGTTCTTGCCTGCTCCCTTGGGATGCCAAGCATTCTTCCGGCCACCCTTGCCTTTCTTGTTTCCAGCTGACTTGCCTTTCCCATTCTTGCTCATTCCAGCTCCTTTGCCTTTCTCGCTGCCTTTCTCCTTGCCCTTTCCTTTTCCTGGGTGGTCCTTGCCCTTGCCTTTGCTCTTCCCCTTGTCTTTCTGCCCCCGAGCCCCCTCGGGGGCCCATCCATTTTTTGAAGCTGCATCTACTACTTGCGCGATTGTCACTTTTCCTTTATTGTCGGAGTTCTCCACATCCATGCCGCCAAGTCCCCTCTCTTCAAGTTTCTTCTCTAATTTGTTGGAAATCATGGCGTCAAACATGTCTTCTGGCTTGCTTCTGAAAACTTCCTCCTCCTTCTTTCGGTTCTCCTTCTGCTGCTTCTCCAACTCCTTTTTCCTCTGCTCCTCCTTCTTCGCCTCTTTATCGACCATCTGGTGCCACATGGAGTCGAGCTTCGTTTCTACGAACTTCGGGTCGAAGGGTTTGGAGCGAGTGGAGTCGAGGCCGAGGGACGCTCCTCTGTCGTCCGTCACGCTCTGCATGATCTTCGTGCCCTCCTGGACGAACGTATCCTTACTGCCAGCCACTTTGAGCACCTCTCGAAGCTCTTCTTTGGCTTCGAGTTGCACTTGTTTGAAAAACAATGTAGTTTCATGGTGGATTATTCTCATCGCCTCCCTTCTCGAACTGCCACGTGGCAGCACAATGGCAAGAGACGAATCCTGATCCACACATCCCTTTAATACATTGTCCAACTCTTTCTCAGTTTCACTGGTCTTGAAAGCCCGACATCCTGGGGGGTATCGCCGATTTACTTTGTCATTCAGCACTTGCACGTCGTTGCTCAGCTTCTCGATGGTGACTCGCGTGCGAGTTATCTTGGCCATCGATTTCTCAAAATCTTGCATGAAATGAGTCAACTGCTTTTGAATGTGGTCGGGGATCTTTTTCAAATACTCCACTTCCACCTGTGGGGCCTGAGGTGCAACTGCCGGCTGCTGCTCTCCCAGCGCCAATCCTGGGGGGGATAGCCGCGCCAACAGGCCCATGAGTTGCTGATTCTGCTGCTGCTGCTGTTGTGCTTGGCGCTGTAGTTCCTGATTTGTAATTGCCATTTGCTCCATCATGCGAGTTTGCTGCTCCATCAGCGTGGCTACGTCGGTGTACTCCGTGTGGTCGCCACCTCTCCGCTTGCCACCGCCTGAGCCTATTGGAGTAGCTGGTCCACCCACGGCCTGTGGAGTTCCAGCTTGCGGTACTGGTGTATCAAGGCTCGCGAGAACATTCGCAAACGCTTGCCCACCATCGCCAGACGCCATTGCGAGGAAATACTGAAGTAGACCAACCTCTCGTTTTTTGGCCTGCAGATCCACAGCTCCGTGGATAGCATGATGCTTCGCTTGCGGTGCTCCGCGGATCCGATTTCCCCTGGGTCCCGGATGCTAGTTATCATTATATACTTATTCCCGGGAAATAAATGGATCCATCGTTGTTTCACACGCAGGATCCGCGCAGCGCAGAAATAGGATCCACGAATCTCTCCCACACCCGGAAAGGGATCCAATTGGATCCGCTGATGTTCTCATATTTTTAGTCCAAAGAGGAAAAAACACTTTCGGCCTGGGGATGTATGTCACCTTGCGGGCCCTTGCAAATCGACGCTAATCGACGCTCATCCACGCTCCTCGGAGCTCATCCGCGCTCCTCGGAGCTCATCGGGCCCTCGATCCTCGATCTCCCCCCCATCCAGCCTCGAGCCTCGAGCCTCGAGCCTCCATCTCGATCCCTCCCCCCTCCCCCCGTCCTGGACCCTCGATCCCTCGGTCCCTCGAGCCTCGACCCCTGTGCCCCCCCCTCCTGCTCGCCCCCCCGAGCCCTCGAGCCTCGGGCTCTCTCCCCCTCCCCCGCGACCCCGCGAGCCCTCGAGCCCCCTCCCCGTCGGCCCGCCTCCCCTCCTCCTCCTCCTCCTCCTCCTCCTCCTCCTCCTCCTCCTCCTCCTCCTGCTCCTCCTCCTTGTCCTCCTCGTCCTCCTCCTCCTCCTTCTCCTCCTCCTCCTCCTCCTCCTCCTCCTCCTCCTCCTGGCCAGTCGGGCCCTGCAGGATCCCGCGGGCTCTCGCAGGGTCCCGCGCCCGAAGGCCTGGGCCCACGCGGAGGCCCCTGCAAGATCCTGCAGGATCCTGCACCCAAGCCCGGGCCAGTGCGACCCTGGCCCGGCAGGATCGCGCGGGATCGGGCGCTCTGGCTGACCCCCGTCTGCATTGACTTGTGGATGCCACGGCAACGGACACCCTAACAGCCGTAACCTTGAATTTAATCTGTGTTTAAAATGTCGGGAACATGTTCTAAACATGTTTCAAACATGTGTTTTACATGTTTCAACAATGCCTAAGACATGTTCTAGACATCTGGAAATTATTTGGCAGCATGCTTCCTCTCCATTATAATCGACTTCCACGACCCTGACCCTGCAGGATCCTGCAGGATCGAGCGCTCTGGCTGACCCCCGTCTGCATCAACCCCCGCCTCACAGCTCCCGCCTCCCCCCCCTCCCGCCCTGCCCGGCCCTCCTGCCGCGGGGCGGGCCCGGCGCCGAGGGCTTGCGGCGGCGCGCCCTTCGGAGGGCGAGGCTCCCCCTCGCTCCTGCTTTGTCCGACCCCCCCCCCCCTGCGTGCCGTGGAGGAGGGGCGGCGGAACGCGTCTGCTGCTTCGTGCCTCGGGGAGGGGCCTCGTTGGCTACCTACCAGACCACCCCAACCCAACACCGAAGACCCGAATTTCGCTAGAATTTCGGGCTGGAGGGGTACGGGTTCCATGTGTTTTGTTCAGTGTTCCCCGACCCCCCCCCCACTGGAAATGGAGGGCGAATCGAGTCCTTCGGGTTGGGTTGGTGTGGTTTGGTGGGCGGTGAGTTTGGCGTGCGTGTGCAACCTGGATATCGCCACACACGCTTCAGCCAGTTTACCGCTCCAGTCTTGAGCCAGCTCCGAACCAGGCGCAAATAAAAAACCGGATCTTCCAGAAGAGCTCGAATAACTATGCTGCACTGGAGACGCCTCTGTTTCTTGGCAACGACAGCGCCGTGTTGGCTTGTCAGTGTTCGTTGCATGCAACGTTTGTGTTGGTTATGGTGCCGTCTTTGCTTCCAGTTTCGTCGCCGTGTTTCGTCTGGTTCCGGCACCGTTTTTAACCGAGAGCATGTTTGACCTTTCGGCGAACTGTTCTCTGACAGCTTTTTTTCTCAAAGTCAGATTTGCGTGGAAAGTAAAAAGACGGCCCTGTCGTTCCCATTAATCACTCAGCTCCAGGCCTTTTCCAGCGGCACTTGCACAAGAGAACAAATCCCGCGCACCAACACCACTGTGCCCCACGGCGACAACAAAACACCTATACAGTAACGAATACATAATGATAGGATTATCCTCGCGTAAACGGTAAGACTAAACGGATGTCATGTTCACTATTGAGCCACACTGGAATGCACTCCATAATCAAAAAAGGATCTCTCTCTCTCTCTCCCTCTCCCCCGATCTCTTCCTCTGTCCCTATCTCTTTCTCTCTCTCTGCTTGCCCCTCTCTCTCTCTCTCTCTCTGTGTTTTCTCTCTCTCTCTCTCTCGCGTTCTGCGCAAATGCAAGCACGCAGGTAACCATATTTACCATGACCACGGTCTCATTGTGATGGGCAAATGCTTGCCAACATACTCTCCATGCATCAAGTCTCGCTGTGGACAACGGCGCATCTGAACATCGCGTGTTGGGGGTCGTAATGGTTGGGCGTGTTCTTGTGGGACGGAGTGGAGTGAGTCGGCTGGTGAAGCAAAGTCTCCCCGCCTCTCCTCTAACTAGTCTCCCTCGCCAGTGCAGCGGGCAGGGCGACCGCTTGCACACGCCTCCACTGCGGCCGTAGGTCGAGCAGCAACCTCACGAGACCCCCACTAGTCGGCACGATCCGTTTGAGGGGTGGTGCCGACATCGGCGGGGCGACCGCGTGCAAACACCTCCACGCGGGGCGCCGGTGGAAGTCCCCGTGCGGCACGACGCGTGTGGAGGGCTGTCCCGAACTCGGCGGGGCGACCGCACGCGAGAAGCTCCCCTCTGGCGCGAGCCGCTCGAAGGGCAGGCCGACGTGCGGGAGTGAGCTGGCAGCAGGCAGCGGACCAGCAGCGGCAGGAGAAGGGGCGTGCGAGGCGGGGAGCGGGGAGGAGATGCGCCGCGAGGACTGAGCGAAGACCCAGCGTCACATGTCGGAGCGGGGCGAGTTGTGACAGCGGCAGCTCAAGACCTGCCCCCAGATCCCTCTCAGGGTCCAGACGCGCCAGACTTCCGCTGCGCCCAGCCGTGGCGGCGCGGGCCTGCCCGAAGAAGAATGACATAAGGTCCGCGCGGATTTGTCGAATGGGCGCTGAAAACCCCTCCATGGCGCGCGGAGCGCGCCAGGAGCGGCGCCGGAGGCGCCGCCAGGGGGGGGGGGCCCAACGCCGATCTGGGGAATCCGCGCGGACCTCCGAATTTTCATGCTCATGTTATTGCTTTTTCCCCCAAACTCGCCTTTGTCTGAACATGAGAGCTCGGAACAACGGATTTCTCTCGGCTGCACGCAGGAGTGACCCTGGGTAAGAGTGACCTTTGGTTCGCGAATCTTGGGGGTCCGCGGGGGACCCCACACACCAGCGCGCACGAGACGCTACTGTAGCGCCGCGTTCGGCGATCGGGGGACCCCAGTGGGCCCGCACCAAAGGTCACTCTGGCGAAGGGTCACTCCTACTCGTAGTCGATTCTCGCATTACTAGGCCGGCTCTCAACAATAGAAAAAAACATAAACATAAGCTTTTGGCGCTCCGCGCGGCTGTCTTGGATCTGCGCTGGGGCCCCCTCCCTGGCGCGCGGAGCGCGCCAGGAGCGGCGCCGGAGGCGCCGCCCAAGGGGGGGGGGGGCAGCGCGGATCCAGGAGATCCGCGCGGAACGCCAAAAGTTTGTGTCTATGACGTTTTTTCTTCTTCGAAAGCACTCCAAATCCCTTACTAATCGACCCCCCCCAAAAAAACCGGACCCCCCTCCAAATGCGACCTAATATTCCGGACCCCCCTCTCCGACGGGGCGCCTTCACAAGCCAGACCCCCTGAGCTCCAATACCAAGAAAGCGCCCTAATAAGCCGGACCCCCCCCAATTGCAAAAAAGGCGCCTTCAAAAACCGGACCTGGGAGACGATTAATAAGGGATTTGGAATGGTCGATTCTCGCACTGCCGGGCCAGCTCTCAACAATCGACGAGCGCGCTCCACGACTCGCAAAGTGCCTACTCGCAAATGGCCTGGATCCGCCGCGGGGGATCTACGATGAATTGCACCAGAGCAGACATGTGTTTTTCGGACGTTTGTGAGCAGGCACTTTTCGGGAACGGACAGACCCCCCTTTAGCAAAACGTGGTTTAGTGAAAACGACCTGAGGCCCAAACCTGGCGGGCGCAAGCCTGGAAAATAACGGCCACGGCGCCATCTCGAGAACCGAAAACGGACAATTCACTAATCGACGTGTCACTGTTGGGGGTTCTGTCCACCCCCGAACTTTGCGAGTAGTGGAGCGCGCTCGGTGCAACAGGACGTGCCGGGCCAGCAGCAGGCGCCCCGCCCGCGAGGAGGCTTGCGGCACCCCCGGGGGGCGCGGCGCCTCGGGCGCGCGCGCCTCGTGCACGGCCGCCGCCGCGGCGTCTGCGGGGGCCGCGCTGCTCTCTGCTGCCGCCGCGCGGCCGAGACGTCGGCGGCGCGCAAAGGGGGGGCGCACGGAGACAGACTACACAACCCCCCGATTAAAAAAAAAATTGGAAGTTTCGTGTTAGGCCCCTGTGGCCGAGAAAAGCGGAGAACGCGATTGCGCGGAGAACGCGACGTTTAATCGGTAGGTGGTACAACCCTCGTCATAATGAACCTCAAAAGCGTCCTGCGTGGCGGAACTGCTTGTGGGGAGACACTGGACAGAGTAGCGGCGCCTGCGAGGTGCTTGTATGCGCCGCCCCATCCAATGTCGGTCATCATCGACCTTCCGAGTCTGACCACTTTTGCCCTGGCCCCGACATTCGAGGGGCGTCTATCGACATTGAAGGGCGCACCGACATCGCAGGGGCGTGGTCGCCATTTTCAAGGTTAATTTTGACGAGGGTAGTAGTCCGCGTCCGACCCGAACATATAGTAGACCCACATGGTAGTGTATTGTTTCACGAGCGGTGTGGCCAGAAAGCGCCCGCTACGGCGCATATACTATAAGATTTCTCGGTGCGCGCGTCGCCCCCGGGGGGGGGGGAGATGCACACATAGTATTATGAGT